AAGGTTCAACACACAAGTTCATTTGTTGCGGAGCGGGAGGGGGTGCTTTATTTTTTTTCAAAATTGAAATTAATTCAACTGATGATAAATATCAGAATATGAACGGTGAACCCATTTTTTATGATTTTTTTTTAAATTTAAAGTATATCCCACCAAGCACATAGCCGTGATTTTGCTCAGACCCGATGCTACACGTGATAAAAGACCAAAAATTGTTTAAAACCTCTTATTTTACACAGTATGAAGGCATCATTACAGAGGGAAACGCACAATTTGTTCACCATATTGAAGTTTTTCACTGTCAAGTGGGTCCTCACGTGACATTGACGTCATACAATGGGCCGGGTATGGCTGAGGGCAAACCCCCAGAACTAGCTGCGTGTCGAGAAGTGATAGGAGCCTGGGCGATGGGAGCATCGGTAGGTTCACGTATTTTTTATTACAGTTTGGCGCGTTGAATCCATATCTTAATTGTTTCAATTTTTATTGACAAGGGATGCTTTCCCCTCGTAGACACCTAATCCCACCTCTGGAATTTCAGATGGTCGGCGTTTTATTCGTTGTTCACATAATTGTTTGTGAAATTGGTAATTTTTATTGTAAAAAATGAATCTTGAAAAAGTTAATAGTCCTATTTTTTCTTTTTTTTTTTTTAAGAAGTACATCTGTATGAGTGAAAAGCACCAAAATAATTAAAATCTGCAAATTTCAGTTTGTTACTTGAATGTTATAGATGTAGGTATTTTATTCGGACTTTGACAGGCCATGTACCTGCCCAACGAGGCAGGGACAGCCATTGGTGGCCCACACATGTCACAGTATGTCTTATTAGAGGTACATCTGAACAACCCAGGTCTGAAAACGGGTAAGAACAAATTCTTTAGTTAAACCAGGGTTAAACCCGAAAAGCTGTATGCCCATTCTATGTTTCAGTTACAGCATCATTAAGTGATTTAGCTATGAAATGATTTTTAGACCAGATCAATTCCACTGCAGTCCTAGATGTCTTGCTTCAGATATTTGTTTTTTTTTTTTTCGATTAAGCTATGAGCATTCTGCACCCCTTGTTCACCCATCTTCTTTAAAGAAAATTTTAAAATCGAAATTTTTTAACTCGAAATTGTGCATTTTTGTAAAAACTAAATTACATTTCTTTTTTGATAGGGGTTATAGATTCTTCTGGAATAAGGTTTCATGTCACAAAACATCTGAGGCGGTACGACTCCGGAATCATGGAGTTAGGTCTGGAGTACACCAATAAAATGGCGATCCCTCCAGGCCAGGGGATGTTTGAACTGCCGGGATATTGTACAACAGACTGCACCAGAATAGTATGTGAAGATGTGTACTATTACCCCAAGTATTTTGAGAGTTACAGTAAAATACGTTTATAGAGAAGACAAATAAAACGAAAACTTACCACACGAGTTCAAAATAATGAAAAATACGAACAATGAAAAAGATTGAACAGAGCCAGTTTGCTTGTTTAAAAACTTCCAAATCCCCATGATTAATTTTACTTCGTTGGTATAAAAACGATTTGGGTTGAGATTTAAGAATATTGATTTTTCGCTTTCAATAAAATACCCAGAGTATTTCAGTTTTAAAGATTTAAAAAAAAAGGAACATTTCAAGAATTCTCATTTAATTCTTTTTTTCTTGAAGGCGTTGCCACACAGTGGAATCAGAGTGTACGCCTCTCAGCTCCATACTCACTTAACCGGAAGGAAGGTTTACACAAAACACATCCGGAACGGAATCGAACTTCCGGAACTAAACAGAGATAACCACTACAGTCCACACTTCCAAGAAATCCGCGCGCTTCCTCGCCACGTCCACGTGCTTCCGGTAAATTATGCAGTGGACTTCTTTAAATACCATTTGAAAATATAAATGTAGTTTGAAGCTTGAGTTTGAATAAATATGAAATTTCATTTGTTTCAGGGTGACGCTTTGATTACTTCTTGTTTTGACAGCACCTTGAATAGATCTGCGGTCACGTTGGTAACTACTATGAAATTTAGAAGAATAAATTTTTCAGAGATTTTTTTTTTTCAGAAAAATTTTGATCATAATTTCATAAATTTTTAATAATGAAATCTTTACTGGAAACAGTTAAATTTACAAAATTGAATATAATTTTAAAGAACATAGATAACTGAGAAAGGATTTGTACTACTTTAAGTGAAACAAGTTGTACAGGTGTCAAGTTATACAGCTTTCACTGTATTTCTAAGCTATAGAATATACATGTACCTTATACTTTGAATTTTAAAGATGAGTTACTGTTTATTTTAGGGCGGTTTTTCTATACGAGAAGAAATGTGTGTGAATTACATTCACTACTATCCACGCTGTGACCTTGAAGTTTGTAAAAGTTCAATATCAGACTGGACTCTCGATCTGTTCCTCAAGATGGCGAAAGCGTAAGGGGTCATCAGTCATTTTTAACACTAACTGTATATTTTTTTCTTGTATTTTTCATAAATCAGCTTATCAAATTCGAATTCCTATATATGTACCTGACAGTCACCACAAATAATGGAATACATACTAAAATTTCATCGGCGAACACCATACAACTCCAGACATTCTGTAAACCAATGTTTATTCGCTTGCGAGATATTTTCGCGAAATTCTCGTCATCGCAAATATTTCTCGTCGCAAACCGGTCCTTTAAGTCTTTGTGTCAACTACCAACAAATCCAAAAAGGCTTGATCGCGAAAAATTAAAAGTCGCGAACTAGTTTATCCCTTTATTGTAAATCGCGAAATAAAGTCGTCGCGAATAAAAGTTGGTTTTCAGTACCCAGTATACATGTAGTTGATGAAAGTCAAAAACATATTTAACGAAGAAACATCTTTAGAAAAAACGACAAAAAAAATGCAACAAATTTATTCACTGTATTGTATTTTTACTTTCAGTAGAAATGACGTAGATGATGTCGGTTTGAGGTATCAGTCGGTGGATTGGAATCCTGCAAAAGTGACGTCATTACAACTACTGTATAAAAACGCACCAATATCCATGCAATGCAATAAGTCAGACGGGAGCCGATTTCCGGTCAGTTTATCAAAATTGCAAATTACAAGTCAAAAATATTTTGTTTGAATGGTATTGGTGAATTTTGCACATATTTACACTGGGTTGTAATTTTCCCTTTGTTTCTACAGGGTGAATGGAGCAGCAAAGCCATTCCAAGAATAATTCTCCCAAACAGAGAGCGATCCATGTGTACCAAAGATATATCATGGTTTACATAGTTAAACTAAGATGTTAATAAATTGATTTTACATATTTCTTGTGTCTTTTCACAGTTTATATACAAAAAAAAATTATAGAGATCTACTGTTGCCTGAATAGTCATTTTAGTCCAGTAACTGAGAGAATATCCAAAAACCTCTCTTGTATTTATTTTACAGGGACACTGCACTTTAAACAATAAAGCAGTGTTATAGACCTTCAAATATATATATCTAAATTTTTGCAGTTGCAGACAAAGGTTTTCATTATACAGTTGACAAGTATTAATTATTTTTCTAAATAAAACACTGGTTATGAGTTATGGCTATGTTCTGAGTGGATTTGCATTGAGTAAAAACATTTATATGATTCTACATTTCAGACAGAAGCATTTTCAAAAGGACTTAACTTCAAAACAAACTCGTCTTGTTATCACAAAAGATAAAGATAATGCTTTTTAAAAGTTTCCCTTCATTCATTGCAGTATTTTTCAAAAAGAAGGTTTCTTGTAACTGAAAGAACGACTTATAGAGGAACAATTTTCATACATAATTAATTGGCATCTTCGCTGTATGTAAATTGGAGGAAGCTACACTATCAAAAGGGAAGGAGGCCCTAGCAGTCTTAATATATAGTTTAGTTATTGAAAAATGTAAGAATGTTATTTCTTATGCTTATAAAATTAGAAGTTTTTTTCAAGGAAGATTGGCTGCATTGTTATATAGGAAGACAAGTCCGAAAAACTGCTTTAAAGTATTTAATTCCTCTCGGGAAAATTCACTACAAATCCAGTCAGGGAATTGGCTCACTGTCAGACTACCAGGAGAAATCTCGCTGAGGAAAAAAGTCTCAGTATGCGAGAAGTATCAGAAAACAACACCCCTTACAAATGTATAGGGATTTTTTTTAAAAACATACATGTATTTTGTATGATTAAACTCTATTGCTCTTTACTTTTTTTATGTTCCTTAAAATCAAATTAACATATGCATGTACTAACTCCTAATTTTGAGCCCCTATCCCAATAACAAGAGATGTTTTGAAACGTGTATGACCCCTCCAAGTTATTGAATTTTTTTTTTGTCCAAGGGGCATAACTCTGTCAAAAATTGTTCGATCGTACCCAAAGCGTAACTTACCCAGATTTTCTTTACATGATAAAACTGTAAACCAAATTTTATTTCAGTATGTAAAACCTCTGTGAAGAAAATGAACAGAATCTGCAAATAATAATTTTATTTCTAAGTCCAAGGGACTTAACCTGTCAAAAATTGATCAATCATATTCAAAACAGAACTGACCTAGCTATTCTTGTTATAAATTAGATGTATACCAAGTTTCATTTCAGTATGCATGATATCTGCCAAGAAAACGAACGGAAACAGCAAATAAATAGAATTTCTAAGTCGGGGCATAACTCTGTCAAAAATTGCTAAATTATATCCAAAACAGATCCAACATAATCTTGTGATAAATCCCCCCTCTGCAAAAAATTTGCAAATAATTGGAATTTTTCCCAACAGATATTCTAATGATAAATCTGTATCTCTACCAAATTTCATTTTAGTGTGTGCAACCTCTGCGAAGAAAATGAACGGAAACTGTAGGTGGACCGACAGACAGCAGCAAACCAATATGCCCTCCCTTCTTCGAAACGGGCATAAAAAGGGCAAAATTGTTCCTTTGCCTCAGAAAATCTATAAATGAGGTTGAGACATTTTTAAATGCAACAAACAACAAATAAGGAAATCAAACGTTCCGAGATAAAAATCCGTTTTATTTACAAATCCAACAAACTTGGAAATATTTAATAAAATTGACATACCGAATAATAATAATGTACATAATTTTAAAGGGTAGTGCAACAATTCCCATACCATTAACAAAATGGAGATATAAATGCATTACATAGTAAGTGTGGAATATCCTTGTCAACAAAATTTTACTTCATGTAGATTAAGGTAAAGACATACATGTAGCTCATCATGCAAAACATTCATACACACAGTTTTCTGAGAAGAGACTTGCTTAAGTGATAAATGTTTTTTATATGCCTCTGTATTCCATGAACAAATTGCAAAAGCATTTGTACCATTTCATCCAATACTTTATCGCACTTGACTAAAATGAGCAAACTTCAAATAAATTTTTTTTTAAATCTCATGAAATACAAAATCATTCATTTTCATTCTAGGAAAGATACTGAATCAACATTATACATTCTTACTATATGAACTGTAAATGATTTACCATAGGGATGGGAAGAATAAATTATTGCAACTTTGATAAATCATTAAATATTAGATCTAATTGAGTAGTTAAAATAGTTCTTGAAAGACTATTTAATTCATACACACTGTACTCCATAAAATATAACACTATGAAGATTAAAAAAAAAAGCTATCCTCAAACTATGTTAATAAACTACATATCATTTGGTATGGATACTTTTAACTGACTACTTCTTATCACCAAGATGGATAAGTTTCAATATTTTGACGATTATATCAAAAAGTATGTATACAATATTGTTTACAAAATTATTAAACATACATCATTTCTTCTTAATATTTCTTAATATATCTTATATCTATCTGTTCAATATAAACTTAAAAATGCAATGCATTCTTGTGCATCAGTACAATTAATAAATATAAGATAGGTGTCTGCTATAATTGATATACACTCTGATTTTGTAAAGACAGTTGATTAATATCTACTGATTAATTATTTCATCAATGTATATAAAAAAGCACTTGTCTATTTTTTGTTGTACATGTATATGCAGTAAAAAAACATTTTGCAGATCTGGCCTTGCAAATATCATAATAATTGTGGTATATGAAGCATGTTTGTCTACCTTCATATTACATGTACCAGTAAACAAATGAGATTCTTCTATGTAGAAGGGGAAATAACCCCTATACATTTAATTGAGTGTGCGTAGAATACAATCCTACAATGACTGGGTAAACAAACAAAGAGGGCAAATATGAGCTAAAAAATAAATTGAATTAAAAAAAGAGAAAAAATACTACTATGGCCAGCCATAGGTTTAGAATGTAAACAAGAAAAATATACACGTACCAATTAAAAAAAATCGAAAACAATAATATAACTCTGAACTGAGAATTTAAACAGTTGCACTAACAATTGCACTAACAAAGTTTATAGTATACACATTTTCCCCCATTTTGAATGAAAATCTATTTATTGCACTTTCACAAAAAAAAAAAAATAATAATAATAACCACTACAGAAGATATTTTTCACCTTGGAGACAATTTTGTCTTGTTTTAATAACCATGTCACAAACATAATTTTGCCTGCAAAATTTGTGAGATGTTTAACTGAACATGGACAGGGAAAAACAAGGAACAGCAATGATCTTTAAAACAATGAAAAGGTGGTCAAATTCAAAAAAACCTATTTAATGTCATGCTTAATGATTTATTCCAGGAATCATACAAGGGTTGTGAAGATCTGAATCACAACCATATACATGTACAACCTTCAACTTTCTGAGTATACAAACAAACAAATTCTTCAACACAAGTATTATTCGCTCTCGAAATTTCTTTTAAAAATCAGACATGCAATGTTGGGAAGAACATGTTAAACTACAAAATGATAATCATTAATTATCACGTGATTTTCAGTTCTGTAAAATTTGAAAAACTGATATAAAGTTCTATCTATATATGGCTATTTCTGCAAGAACTATTGATACGAATTATAAAAAAAAAAAAAAGAAAACCTGCAATCTATACGTATCTTCTTTTGTAACACAGGAAGGCATTCACACCACATTTAAACACTGGATGACAAAATCTGTGTCCAGGACAGATCTGCAACTCTCCACAGTAGATAGGGATCTATCTACATCTTAACAGGGGGCAAAGGTCATCAATGGCACATGACCTTGTAACAAAATAGGGGTCAAAAACACTTTGAATTTTTGTGATCACTGCACTATTTGCAAAATCCCTGGAAGTTTTTGTTTTCCTTTCCCACAAAGATTTGCTGTAAATCTATATGTCTATAGACTGCTGTTTCATGGGGTATTTTGAATTCCTCGTGGGTGAACCGTACGATTCTCTCGAATCAAAATGTTCGTGCTCCTTCCTGTTTGAGTACCGGTCGTCTCGCCGCGGATCGTGCATGTCACCACTGTTGTCTCTACGATTGAATTCGCGCGGCGACATCCGATTGTAATCACTACGGTCATAGTGTCCCGATCTCAGATCGCGATCGTGAAGTTTTTCATGGGAAGGACTTGGGTCTCTATCACTACCACGTATATGGTGTTCATGATCAGCGTGTCGCCGAGGTTCACGAAATGAACTATGAACATTATGACCATGTCCGTGGTGCCCATGTCCATGGTGCCCAGGGGGCACTGTGTTATGCCTGCTTATGGGATTAGGAGAAGGCATCAGTTTTGTCTGCTGTGACGTGTCAATTGGATGTGTGGCTTTCCAGTAAGCCTCCAAGAACTCGGACAAATGTTCACAGGCATCTTCCAATTGATTTTCATCTAGAATTACATCAAACATATCCTGCAAGAGAAATAAAAGCTTTACTTAATATTAAAGGAAATAAAAGTTAAGACAAATGTAAATAACTTGTACAGCACCATTTTTTTTTCTGATTTTATACTGTGTTTTTTTATATTGTACATTACATTTACGAATAAAATAACAGAAAAATGTCCAACCTATTTAAAAAACTATTTATTTCAATATGCAAGTAAGTTCTTCCAAATGAAATGAATAGCCTTAATTCTACTTACAGGACTACATTGGTTCAGTTTGTCAGCAGCTACTAACTGTACATTCATATTACGACTCTGGGATTTTCCTCTAGATTTGATTAGTCGCTGTAATACCTGTGAAAGAAATTTAAATAAAATTTACTGACCTAGCTGTCGAACAGAAACCCCACACCACAATTAAATAAAGATATCAATTACTTGACCCTTTGACTTTGACCATTGAAATTATAACTAGAACTGTCCAATAGGGACAAATACCCCCCGCTGGGTTTTTCAGAGAAGGTGTCAATTCAAAAATACTTTATGGATCTAGAGGTGTTCACAATTTACTTACAAAAATTTGCAGTGAAATATAATTGCTCATCATGTTTCTTAATGAATGAAACAAAGGTGCAATCAAATGAAACATCAATACTAATACATTGTAATTTCATTGTAACATTATTTTTTTTTAATTTTTTTTTTTATTTTTTTATTTCTGCATTAAAAAAATATATATCAATTATGTGTTATGTCACTCTGCAAACTAATTGTTGAAAAAAAATCATATTATACAAAATCAAATTAATCTTGATAACTTTTTATCAAATTCATTTTGAAAATAAAGAGCTATCCAGTAATGAAGTGCTTTGACAGACAATAAATTACAATTAAGAGAATAAGAGAAGAGAGATCTTTACTTGTGCTGCTCTATTCCCAGGAGGTTGATAATGAGAATTTCAACTTCCCACACCAAACTAAATTTATCTATAACTGGATGCATGTCCAGTCATTATTCCCAAGAGACAAATGAAATTACATTATCTTCTGTGCAATGTAAAAAATGTTTTTAACACTTGATTTTTTAAAAAGTTTTTATGAGTAGTTTTAGGCTGTAGTATTTTTGTACAGATATTCTAGATTCTATGTCTCAAACCTTATACATGAGCCCAAAATGAACAAGTCAATTTAAATAAAAAATAAAACCTGTAAAATGCAAAAAAATGAACAAAAAGAGTTGAAAATTCCAGGTGCACACCTTCATATGGTGAATAATAAGTGTACAAATTTTCAGATTAATCCTTGCATAAATAAAAAATAAAACCTGAGAAACGGTAAAAAACCACAAAATAAAAATGAAAAAACACCTGTAAAATTCAAAATAATAATCGAATCAAGATGAAAATTTCCACAACTTCATATGGTGAATAATATGTGTACAAATTTTCAGACAAATGCTTCCATAGTTTCTGAAATTATCTCGTCTAAAAAGAAAAGTTAAAGCTTTATACAACTTACCTTTGGTGAAGCAATTTTGACATAAACAATAATTGGAGCTAACGATGTTTTTGCTAATTGTGAAGGGTGGTTAATTGTGTCACAGTCTAGAACTACCAACTGCATAGACCTAGCCAAGTCAAATATTCTCTCTATTTCATTTTGAACTTCTCCTGCAAATCAAGACAAAAAAATTTCTTTAACATAGGCATTCTATCCAAAAAGTAGACATACATAATCTATAATTTTTTTTTTGAAAAAGGGGAATGTGGGGGTGTATTGATTTAACAAAATACATGTTAAGAAAGAGCAATGCTTAAAAATAAATTTCCTTCTGTTGAGCATACTAACCTATTCCACATGAACGACTCTGTTTGTCCAGCAAGACTCTTTTACTGGGATTATTAATTATTGACCGTTTAGCTAATGAGATGTCTGCCGTGACTCTTGTAATGATTATCCTGCAAAAGAAAAATTCAACACTAAATGACAGATTTCTACAGGTACATCACAAGTTTTGTACCCTCCATATAAGTATCAATGCAAGACTTCTATACAGAATAATAAAATCAATTTACATGTAAACCTAATATTTTGACCAAATGAAATTGAATTAAAATTCTTTGTTATTACTGTTTTCCTATATTACTTGTCATTTTCAAATAAACACACTTGCTGCACCAGTGCTCTCCTTTTTCTTGTGTGATTACATACAACTCAATCTTCACATGATGCCCTACTTACCTCCCTTCAAACTTGTGTTTGAGGAAATCAAAGAGAGCTTTTTGCATCATGTCTGTCACTTCGTATCCCTTCAGTGAAGGACCAATCAGAACGACTGGTCGCATGGAAGGCACTACTTCATAAGGTGGCACTGACTCTGACTGAAATTTCAATGAATGTCAACATTTTTACAAAAATCTATACAGATTGTAAATGGTTAGGTCAGTCGCCAGTACAAAGTATCACTGGTGAAGTATAAATACTCATTCCATATTGTATGAAAGTTTACTAATCATATAAACCACTGTAAATCAATTTTTATTCATGACTTTATTTTCACATGATTATGACTGTCTGACAGCAAAAATTTCATTCTAGCAAATATTTTTTATCATAAAAGATCATATTCAACAATATTAATCATTAACTGTTGTGAAAAAAATGTCTTGGTGAAAAATCCAATTGCTATTGGCGTGAAAATAAGGAGTCACAAAATTTGATGATCCAAAATTTTATGCATCCTAAACTACCTTTTTGAAGAATGGTTTTTTCTTCTCTTTGGTTGGAGGGATGATGCCCCCTGCTTTGTAGGCTTTTGTGCTATCACTATCCTCTCCCACTGTACTGTCTGCCCCATTCTCCTCGGTCATTCCTGATAAAAAACAAAACAAAACATATAAAGGCTGCTTTTATTCTCAAACACATTTGTCACTTTATGGTAATACAAAAGACAAATCAATCTTGAAAACTTGAGGGTGAAGATGTTTGTGCTGTTTTATTACTGTCCAGAGACAGTTAATAAATGCAAAACTTATATGAACACATGCTAATATGAACACATGCTAGTATTTTAATTAATTTTAAATCCTTAAAACATGTAAAAACAGCTACCGCTACATTTACCGTACAAGTAGAATTTTTAGCGAGGATTTAATTTTGGCATTATTAGCGAGGGTGCTGACATCGCTAAAATTGAATACCGCTAAAAATTAATTGCGTATTATTTGTAATAGCTTTTTTAGTTAGCATTTTTAAAAAAAATCGCTAAAATTACTTCTCGCTAAAAATAAAACACCAGATTTAAGGAAGAAATCGCTAAATTTGCGTCTCGCTAAAATTTCCATTTATACGGTAATTTTTAACCCTGACAATGAATATAAATCATCCCCATGTACCAGTAATAAGTTGAGTTCTGACACAACACCACTCCTCTATCTCCATCCCCCCTTTTCATTCTTTTTTCTCTTCTTTTTAACATCTAGTTAGTCAAATGTAAATTTGATGCAACAGGACACACAAGACATAAACTGCATCACTGCCACTGAAGCTTGCTTTACATAGCACTTTTCATGCTAGCATTCTCCCTCAACACAACACAACTACCTATATCTTATCTATGAAATGTAGCTTCAAGCTTGAATATTTGCACTTTTGTTATAGAACAAGCCAAAGATCTGCATCGATAAAAGTACAGATAACACCTGTTTTAAATGTAAATTCATTGTTAAGATGGGGCACATGCTGCTACTTTTCATCTAAAGCTAAGCAAGAACTATTGGTTTTCAAACAATTAGCAGCTATTTCATATAAAATCCTACCCATGTCAAGTGAAAAGAAACATTCCCTACCAGTTTCTGTGATTTGTTAATTATAACATCGATTTGATTTTCTTTTTCAAAGTTCATGTATCAAACATCAGTTTGATGCTTCTTTCAAGCCAAGTGAAAATACTTCATCAAATGTATCTCCAGTATTGTGCATATACTACAGTGAACCTAAATGTACAACTGAGTGGATCATCGTTCATCAACCCTTTTTATTTCCAATTTTCTGTATGTTTATCTCGTTGCTTACTGGCCTAATTGGGATAAATTCAAATGCATTATACAGAATATATACATGTACTAGTATTATAAGTCTATGTCTGGCCTTGTTGGGAAAAAATGCAATTAATGAACACATGCTGGTGTTTGCCTGATTCATACTAAAGGCTATTAGAAAATGCATAAATTTACAATGTGTCAATTTTTCTGTGCCCTATTCAAAGCATTCAAAGGTTCTAAAAAGGAATCCCATATGCATTGACTGACTTGCATCACTGACATACAGTTTATAACTTCATATTGCTGAGTAGAGGGTATATGTGCCCTTAACCCTGCACGGATGGGGAGGGTGAGTGCTGATTACCTGGCGTGGGTGGGGTGGATTCTCGGGAGGAGTTCATACCTGTTCCCTGCCCCAGCATACCTTCCATGGTAGTACTGGAATCATTTCGTCTGAAAAAGAGACAAAACTTATGTCACTTTTATCTGGTCAACATGAAATATAATCAATAAAATTTAAACAATGCATGCAAACATACAACAAACTTGGTCCACAAGGGGAAAAAATTAGAAACTAGGGCAGTATGGAACTAGGTCAATGTAAGCAGGAAATTAAAAATTACATAATTCACAATGATAATTAAATCATAGTGGTACAATTAAAGGGAAGACTTACAAGAAGAACTAAAACTTTGTCTAAAGAACAAAGAATTACGGATATAAAACATCTTCTAATTATCAACAGAAGGGTTAATTATTTCCAATTAGTGCAATGAGAAGAGAAGCAGTTGAAATTTACATCAAATGTGTTTCCCTCCTCTGGAAAAATACCAAGTGTTCTGGGAAAGAATTTTTTGCAAACAACTTGTGCTCAAGGGTTGGTTAAGTGGTGATTAAAAGAAGAACTAATCATCTAATTTTGGTTAATCACTTCAAGGGAAAAAAAAAAAGCACCAACTGAGCCCTGAGCTGTTTCATAAGATTTTGATTTTTTCATTTACCTTACATACATTTTACTTTTGGGACCAGACAGGGATTTGAGGTTTTCCAGTTTTGCAGGACTAGGAATAAAACAGTCGTCACATCCATCCTTGACCAAACGTCCAATCCACCAATCATTGTTGAATTTCTGAAAATAAAATACTAAAATGTCACTCAATTGATATTTTAACACCTCCCTCCTCCCCCTATACTTTATTTTTTTTTTAAAAATTAAAATGCAAGACCATAAATCAGAATATTTCTTGATAACAAGTGATTTTATTATCAAAACCTATAAGACAACAATTTAGAAGGTGGAATTCACAAGTTTATTCTACTATTTATATTTCAGAATATTACACTGCTAAGTATACATGACCAGGAAACAAGTATGCCCCTCCCCCTTTTTGATTTTATAACCAATAAACTGATGAGGCTGTATAAGGCAGAGTGAGCTATGGTCAGGGCATAAATTAAACAATGGAACATATGGAAAATGTCTGATGGTTCTTCCAGCCGTAAATTCACTGGCAAGGGCCCAGAATACACAAATGATAGTCAACTGAAGCCAAGTTATTAATAGACACTCATGACTTTCCAATTAATCTGAGTGCTACCATTCACATCACCTTGGAAACAGTAAATCAAAACAGACCATGTCAAACGTCGGTCCTCGGCAAAATAACAAGATTTCAAAACCAATTTCATGCATTTTTATCTATGCTTCTAAAATCTTAATCTTATTGAACAAGCATTAAAGCAAAACTTGTTTAATCTGGATGGGGCAATTCCTAGTATCTCATAAACTTTGAAGCCCTTTCAGAAAATTCGTATCTCTATAAAATTTTGTCTTATACAGAATATTGTTTACTCCAGACAATTTCTATGGAACTAGTGGTGTCCACAACAGACAATTTTACCTTCAAATTTTAAATAAACAATATAAAAAATACCTCTTTGATGTGGAGGAAGCTTTTGACATCAAACGAGACACAGTGACCAGGGGCTGGACAGTCCCCTCCGTCCACCGCTCCATTGAAGGCTACATTGGTGCGCACTGCAAAAGCTACAGGCTTGCTCTGAAATAAGAAGTACAACACTTAATATATTTTCATCATATTTACATTTCATATATATTTTGCTTATATAATGTGTCTAAAGCTACGGCATTCAAAACACCATATCATGGATCCTAAGGGGCTCAAAAGGTTAAAGTATGTATTTTATTTTGACACCCCAAACGTTGAACTCTGTGGAATTGGAACATAGTAAGTGAATAAAATTCTTGACCACATTAAACAAAAGGGCATAGATGTTTCATTAATTATAATTATCACGAAGGATAATATATGCATATTGAAACATAAATCAAATTTGCAAGGAGTTTAAAAAATGTGAGTATAAGCAATGAATTGCTATTTTTTTAAAAGATATAGTCTCACAACTGTAAGGGTATGTGCAAACAATTTTTTCATAAAGCACCTTACTTAATTTGTTTGCACACACCGCTGCTGTTATTAGATATATTTAAAAAAAAAAAATGAGTCAATGTTTAATTTAACACTGGAATAGATCAATAGTTTGATGTGTACTGGTATTGTGATATTCACCAGTCACTTTTTCAACAAATTCAATCTCTTGGATCTTTTTTCTGCGTGGACTTAATTTACAAAGCCACTGATTCTTAAGATATCATTTTTTTTTAGGTTATTGTCAAAACGACAATTAATAAATAAAAATTTATATTACACAATCTGGAGTTATGTGTAATCCATAACACTAGCATACATAGGATGCCTTGATATGCCAGCACAAATTCCTAAGTTCTTCAGCATATGAGGTAAAGCCCTGACATGCCAGTACAGTACATGTAATACAGATGTTAACAGGGTGAAATAATAATGGCTACACCATGTACACTTAATCAGCCTCTGATTGCCTAATGCCTGATAACTGATCATGTAGAGCATGTGGTAAAGTGGTATATTCTGCATCCTTAGAGATTTCCAGTGCATATACCTCCTGTACTCATGTACATGGAACATGCATTACATTTAATCTTTTATGATCAACCCCGCTCCCCCTCTCTCATATTGAGCATTTATATTTAATTATCTGTCCTTAAATTAAATTTTTGTTGACATGCAGTTTGTTTTTTCAGTCACACCAGATTGTGGCATTACATTATCAGGTACCCCAAAATAGTTAAATAAATAATAAATAAAGTGTTACTTTTTTTAGTCACGATGGTATTTTTAATAAATAGACTTAGCGATTCTAATTGTAGACTAGACTAAAAAGCAAAACGTGATTTACCAGATATATGACCCACTCCCCCACAATCCATCTGGCAACTTTCACAAGCACCAGGAATTTAATATTCTACATCCAACTGAATATTTTATTGAATATAAAATTCATTTCCAAGCTATTGTAGGAGTGTTGAAAAAAAAATTTATAAAACAAGCAAATTTAATTAAGTCTAAATATACCCATGCCCAAACCACGTTAACTTGCCCATATTTAGCAATCTATACCTATACAAATATGTGCAAACGAAATCAATAAGGTGTCCCCAGTGGACCTGTAACTGCAGCTATTGAATATTGCGTGTTTACGATGACAAGTGGGGGAGGAAAATCTCCTGTTATTGTCTTGACTGTGACAGAATCAATACCGAGACTGATGCATTCACCTTTCTGTAATAAATCAACTACCGTTGTCACATACAAAATTAGTACAGGATTATTTTGCTGCCAATTTTCCCAATTTCATCACATTGAATATTGCATATTGTTTGTTCTGGGTAATACTGAAAAAAAACTAGCTTCTACTGACAAATTTCACAGCTTAATATTAAAATACTGCACTTGGTCATCTTTTGTAAAATGTAATCATAAAAGGCCATTTTCCTTCAAAATTAGACCAATTCCTTTCTTTCAGTCTTGGGTGTCAATAAAAATGGTTCAATCAAAGTTTCTATGACCTTGAATGTTTTCTGTGGTGCAGTCACAGACATCCTGATATTGACCTAACATAGGTCTTTGAAGTTCACTCCGGTACATTTTAACTATCTTATACAACTTTAGCATGTTTAGTACACCTCAGAGAATTGTTGTGGAACAAGAATGAATAGGGCAATTGATGTCGCTGCTAACAATGTCAAAGCTATGTACTGATCATGACAGTGTAACGTGTCACAGTCCTTTCCTATCACAGAAGCAAGCAAAGACTGAAAGACCAAGTGGTAGTCTTCTAAATTGTGTCCACAACAAACTCACTTAAAAGACAAATTAGACAATGCAAAATGATTAAATTAGTAAAAATGTACATATACATCTTACACATTCAACCTAATGTTTAAAGTAACAAGTTAACAACATCTACATTTTTCCCCTAAATAGATTTAATTTGCTTGATTGTTCTCATGACTGTCCTTTAGTCAAATCTGGTCGACAAAATAAATCTATACTTTTGCATTCCCACTGTGCTCACAACTTTAACAGGACCCTATTGAATACTGTGTAATATCTAAATGTGAGAATCTTCCACAAAATTAACTTGAAGAGGTTGAACTTCCAGTTTTACCTTTGTTTTGTTTTGTATTAGGTTTAATAGATGTATGTCCTACAATTTCTATTATACCCTCCGCAGGGGATTTGGGGGGGGGGGGGGGTATAGTATTAAAGGCAATCGTTTGAGTTCTTTGAATTTGTGAGTTTAAGCACTGTACAAAAACAGAAGTGAAGTATAAATTTGCAAAAGAATCAATTTCCAATGCTCTTTTAAATTATAGCTATGCTCTTTGCAAGTAGTGCCCTTGTTAAAATAAGAATCTATGAGCCTGAAATGTCAAATGGAACTCGTCTTAAGGATCATTTACAACAATATAAGGAACCACAGAATAAATATGCATATTCCCTACAATTGATGTTGCTAGGATGAGGTTTAAAGCCATAAAGTTTGAGGCATAATAAAATTGCATTTCCTTCTTGTTCTCATACAGATGCTTGCTGGACAAGTCATTACTGTTGTGCAATAATTAATAGCCATTCTCTGTAACCACTTAAACTTTGTTGCCACGCATGGTCACCGATTTTGATGAAACTTCACCCATGCTTAGTACTTGACACCTTAAACAAATATCAAACAAAATTTCGTTGCTATGTGTCTCGGTTGCTATGGCAACAGCCGGAATATTTTGAAAAATTTGATGATTTTCAGCCACTTTAAGTCTTGACTGTGGCTTAATAAAAACTAGAAAAAGCAAACAAACCATTCTCACAAAAACATGACACCTTGATGTCACTTATACTGTAAAGAAACTGTTTAGAATATATCTCTAAGTAAGTGGTAACCAAGGGTACATTTGGAATACATTCAAAATGCTCAAATATGCTGAAAAACACTCCGTATTCACTAATGGTAGGTGTTACATGCTCAAACTCAATCAACGACTTAAGAAAAACAATGAAAATGTTTGACCTTAGGTATATAAGTATCAGCAATATTTTTCTATAAATAACTTTTATGGTTGCCATGGTAACACAGTGTAACCATGCAAAACCAGTAACTAAGACTGGGTTAATGCTACTGTCTTGAGGAAAAACATGAAAATTCAAAACTGGCAAATAGGCATCCTTAGGACCTTGCAACACCAAAACCATAAGAAAAATTCGGTATAATTGCTACTTTGTAATGTTACCATGGAAACAAAGTACCAGTGCTTAAAAGTGAATTATTTTTCGCTGCATTAAGAATGAAATTGCCATTAAATCAAGAAACAAATTAAAGGACTCAGCTTGAATAGTACTTATCTGTTAGGACTGAAATTGAATATCATACATTGATAAAATTTGATGAATAAAACAACACTGTTGCTATGGTTACCAAGAAGGGAAAATGTTCGATTTTTTTAACTTTATTTCAATATTAAACCCTGTGTGCCAACTTCTTGCATCCACTTAGAGATTGGATGATAGTCAAAATTAAAAGTCAAGTTAGCTGTTAATAAATATCAATCATAAAAGTTTTGGGAATCTACATTTAAGGGTACGTATCCAAGGAAAGAAAATATTTTCCAGGTTTTTAAGCATATATTTTCTGCTTATTTCCATAGCAACGCTCTATTTAAAGAATCTAATCTGAATTTTTTCAAATGGGAAAACTTGGAGCACACCAACATCTTATAAAATTGATCATTAGTTATGAGGAAATGTGCTTTTTTAAAAGATAGGATCAGATTTAAACATACATAGTGTTACTTTCGAAGCTCTCTGTGGTATAAAAACCTTGGCAACCATTGCCAACCAAAATGAAATATCATATTTTGTTCTTGGTATATGTTTCAAGGCTCTTTTTTCTATTATTTGGTCACATTTCATCCTATAATTGCTTTTTATTTTTACGTGTATGACTTTATAAAATTCAATGAATATTTTTTTTACTTTTGAATACTTTGTTACCATAGTAACGTATGTAATAGTTGATTTACCAAACATGTTTATCATGCATTTGAGACATCTCACCTTCAACTTTTGGAAACAGTCATTGCTAATTGTTTGCTTTGCCGCAAATGTTAACCATGGGGCTCTAAACATGTTAAAAAATGCCATTTTTCGAACGTTAAGACATGTTGCCATGGTTACTATAAAACATAGCAACCAATTTTTGCCTGATTTCAGTTTAGGGTATCAATGACTTTTATCATAGAGAGTTTGGCGAAATTCTGAGACTATGCGTGCCACAGCTCCTATATAAAATTTCAAATCATTACAGAGAATGGCTCTTAACTCATCCACTGCTTACACTGTAACACCCAAGCAAGACTAAGCAATACTGGATGGTGAAACAAAATTAATCTTGATATCAATATCTCATTTACAGGTAGCATTTAGTTATTCTTGAATGCATCATTTTATCCTAGTAATGTATTTCAGTTTAATAAAACAGTAAGGAATGAAGCTGATCATACTTGTATAATATTCTTATCAGATTTAATTGATGTTTCTAATTTCAACCCAAAGTGAGCCTCTCTGTTTCATAATTTACACAGGTCTACATATATTAATAATTTGTAGGCATGTTTAATTAAATAATAGTAAAAGAAATAAACAAGAGGCCCATGGGCCACATCGCTCACCTGAGCACTGTGGCTAGGAATAAAATAGAAATTGGTTTATTCTTGAAAAGTTTAAATCCAAAAGTAAACCTTTGACCAGTTATGGCTTTACTATTCTTGAGAAGATGATTTGTAAAGAATTTTCAAATATATTTCTATGTAAAACTTTGGTTGGCCATTGTGGCCCCACCCTACCCCTGGGGGTCATGATTTGAACAAACTTGAATCAACACTACCTGAGGATGCTTCCATATAAATATGATCAATTATGGCTTTGTTATTTTTGAAAGGAAGTTTTTTTAATGAATTTTCCTATTTATTTCTATGTAAAACTTGGGTCGGCCATTGTGGCCCCGCCCTACCAATTGATTTTGCCCAGGGGTCATGATTTGAACAAACTTGAACCTACACTACCTGATGATGCTTCAATATAAATATGATCAATTATGGCTTTGTTATTCTTGAGAAGATTTTTAAAGAATTTTCCTATATGATTCTATGTAAAATTTTGGTCGGCCATTGTAGCCCTGCCCTACCCCCGGGGGTCATGATTTGAACAAATTTGAATCTACACTACCTGAGGATGTTTCCCCATAAGTTTCATCTTTCCTGGCACAGTGGTTCTTGAGAAATTTTTTTTTAAAAGATACCACCAAATTTTCATTAATTCCCAATTATCTCCCCTTGAATGAGGGCGTGGCCCTTCATTTGTACAAACTTGAATCCCCTTCACCCAAGGATGCTTTGTGGCAAGTTTGGTTGAAATTGGCCCAGCGGTTCTTGAGAAGAAATCGAAAATGTGAAAAGTTTACAGACAGACAGACGGACAGACAGACAGCTAGGCAGACAGACGGACGCCGGACAAAATGTGATCAGAAAAGCTCACTTGAGCCTTCGGCTCAGGTGAGCTAAAAAGTTAAAATTATATTCTCATATGAAAGTGCAAAGGTGTCAACTTTATTTGATATATTAAGAATTTCAATTTTAAAAAAATCCAAACAGTTTGAAACTTATTATTATTCATTTATATTTGGATTTGTCTTTCAGGTATGGGTACAACTTTATTTTACAAGCACCAAGTATATCCTGAGAAATTAAAACAGTTTACGTCAAGAAACTAATTTGAACTCTCTTTATTCTTAACAGAGAAATTAATTTTCTAGACTGAGATTTCTGTTGATTAAACTGGATTTGATTTTTCACAATTCTTAGAATAATAATGAATAATTGCTCACATCAGACAAGCTAATACTTGTAATGCTCCAGAAGGAATGGAAACATGCTATATTCCTCCTCTTCCTTCTCCGTACAAAGTTACAGATAAACATAAGCGATTCAAAAAATACAGGAATTATCAATGGAAAAGAATTCTTCTGAGTAAGAGGATGCACTAGCATAGCCCCCCTGCCAAGATCTATATCAGCTAACAACAGGTGCCACGCAATAAACAAAATGGCAACATTTAACACATTTAAGTGCAAACCCATCATTTTCTTTTTTGACTTCGCCTCTTTTTACTTTTTGTTTGAAAGATGTTTTTGAAAGAACACTTTGTGTTTGTGATCTAATATTAGTGCCTCTCAAACACTGCTAATTTATCATTATCATACCTTTGCCTTTTGCAACTGTTCTAAGGCAAGCCTTTTAGTCTCGGCTTGCAGTGCACTCCGTTCCTCATTTTCAGAAGCATCTGGGGTTGTTTGACTAATGGAGTCTGCAGATTCCTAGAAAAAAAAAGAGAAAATTTCCTGAGTTACTTACTGGAAAAAAGGACAGCAACACAAACCACTACAAAGTATCTCAAATTCTCAACAACACTGATCAAAAACATGGTTATAATGCATTAATTAAATCCCAAACAGTGCATCCTGACACACAGTACTTGTCAGCATCAATGCATACTTGATGCCCTTCCAATTGCACATGCATAATCAAAATCAATTGTCCTCACCATGCACTTACCAAGGAAATGGAGGAAGAACTAAGTAAGAGATTGTACTGCTCCTGTGACTGGCTTCCCACAGCCACCATGATCTCAAAATACTGTCTCGTTAGGACCCTCGCACACCAATCTTATAAACCCAATAACCACTTCATTTGCACAAACTTCGTTTTCTGTTTCCAATCATATTTTTTTTTTTATATATGACCGAGGCCAGGCTTCGACTTCCTAGATGACACACTTTCCGGGAAGCGAGTTAATCTGAAACCTTAGTTCGAATCAATATCCATGCATACTCGATAACTAAGGTCCCGGAGTAAGACTCGCTAGGATAGAGATATCACCAGGTCTCTAATGATCTCACAAAGAACTTACTAATAAACTCTACGCTTCCCAAACCATTAAATAATTTTTAGTCAGAGAGTTCTTTTGTCAAAAAGAGAAAAAAAAGTCTACAGCCAATGATGACCTATCGTCCCGTTCCCAACTGAATTTTTTGTAAAACACATAAAAAAAAGATATCTGTCACATGACCGTGCATCAATATGGCTTCTGATAGAAAAACACAACAAATGTCTGTACTGAAACAAGGGAAGCTTTTGCAGCAATACCGCATGCACTACTGCATTATGGCCTGAAAAATCAATATGTCTGTGACTGCCCTACTCTCTTACTGATCAATACCGACTAAAAGGAGCAATTACTCATTACCTATGTTACTGACAAAGAGATTCACCCTAATTTCATTGGAAGGATAAACAATTATATCAAAAGAAACCCGACAGATTTAGGAAGAATATCCTAAGCACATATAGGGGCTCGCTATGAGGCAATACAGAATAGACTACAAGGTTTGATTTCAGTTTGATTAACTCCTATGAATATTTTATAAATCTGCTCCTTGTGTAATAGCTTGGAATCAATAATTCACAAATGTGTGTCACTGCTACAACCATACAAAACAAAACACTTGCGAAACGATAATTCCAAATTTCCCTATACTTCATGAATTATACCATGTCGTAATACTAAAAAATTCAAAACTGACATTGTTTTTTCCCACTGAAGGGGACGGAAATTTCTACTTGATGGTAATGGCCATTTGAATTCAAATTCAGACAAAAACGTGAAGAAAAAAATGCATGCAATATTCTGAAGATAGAAAAAAAAAAAACATTCATAAATAATTTTCAGCCTGATCTTGATGGATGGAGTGCATCCCATCTTAATGATGTGCCAATCAATTCCGAGAGGCTTCTGCATTTCATTCAAAAGAGTGCAAATTCCTCTTCGCTGTCTGCAGTCTATACATTCTGCAGGATAGGCTTGTCAGCCAGGAGCCTGCGAGAGAGGCAACAATTTTTTTTTCATGCTTCTGAATGAGATGATGATGAGATATAGCGAGACATAAACAATCTCTCAAACAAAGCAGACTGCCTGTCGGTCGCATCTTAATCCAGCCTTTACTGGAAACTCATAAACAATCCTCCATTCAGCGGAAAAAACAAAAAGATCCCATCACAAAAATAATCCACAGTGTACAATTCCTTGTGCTCATCATGTCAACAACATTTCAACAATATTATCTTTGCCATAAATAGCAGTAAGTTGTTATTGTAATCAATACTAAATTCTGTTTCTGAAAGAAAAACATTTTTATTGCTGTTGGGAAAATGTGTTAATCAGTCTGGTTACCATACATGCATATTGTTGAAATACAACATAAGATTTATTATTGTAACCACTACGTCAGACTTTTTTTTTTTAGCATAATTAACATAGGGTCAGAGTGTCTTGACCAATATACTAAATCCTCGGAAAATTCTAGTTAAAAATTCTTAGATTACTTAAGGAATGACTTTAATTCTTGGCCATATTATCGAGTATAATCTGGTTTGGGTCAGTTTACGCTTTATAATCCGCGAAGCGGATTATAAAAAAGCGTAAACTGACCCAAACCAGATTATACTCGATAATATGGCCAAGAATTAAAGTCATTCCTTATAATTTAATTTTAAAATAATTAAACAACTTTTGATGTAAAATTGTGTTGCTTTTTATAAGTTCAAATTTACCGCGCAATAATACAACCGTAGTAACGGAAGTGATTTGAAGCGAGGGGAGGTAATGACTGATTCATAGATCTAGCAGCCATGATGTTTGTTTACATGAGGTAAGAACGAGTAATTGATTAAAGTTGAAGGTACATTTATTAAATCTGGAATTTTCCATGGATTCCAAGGACTGGAAATGAGGGGATTGCATGGATATGATGATTAAGCTGGTCGTCAAGGGGGTGTGTCCCCATACCAAACCAGATTATACAAAATGTTATGCGTTCCTTTTTGGTAATCAACCAGTGAGAGGCGAGAATACAAATAAAATTAAATTATTTTGGAATAAACAATTTAAGTCACTTTCTAAGGTGGATTTTTGTCAAATGTGACACATTTCAAGCAGTGCACTAATCTCAGGGCATTCTCAAGTACTACAGTGTACTAGTTAGTAAATGCACAAAAGTTAAACACATTACGTAGCTAGTTACATATAAACGAACATTGCAAATCAGCAAGTCTCAGAAGTGTAATATTTTAAGCATTAAATTATTACATTCATGACTTAGTTAACATTACATACAACATTGTAAATTGCTACTGTTTAATTAAACACTGTCAAAACCTGATCTCTTCTTTGACATTGACTTTTGACCCTTCTACCATAAATTTCTATTTTCCCTGACAACTAATGGTAGCTTGGCAGCAAGTACAAGACTAAAACTTAACCTCTGTCTCTCACACAGCTACACAAGTTGACATCATACTTTCTCCAGGATAGTTTGAAAAGAAGCCATATTCATGTCATAAGTACTTCCTCATAATAATAATAATGATTCTGCATCTGGAAAATTTCTGTTAAAGCCATTCCCAAGATATAAGAATGTCCTCCTGACATGTTTATATCTCTCATATGTTCTCATTTACAAATGTACCTAAATATTAGGGGAAAAATTATACCATGCATAATTTGCAAAAACAACTAATCTATTCAGACTACTCTGTTTAGCTTTTAGGAATTTCCAGTAAAATATTACCATCAAGGAATCTACATCACTATTGTGTTTCCTGATTCGACCCATCAGAAGGAGTTCTTCATTGGATACCAGCTTCCTAATATTGCCTGATCATTCTTCAACCAGCTTAGGGTATCCACAAACATTCATCATGTGTAGATATATCAGTTCAAACCCTTCACCACTCTCCTCACTAGCATTCCATCAAAACCAGTATAAAATCCCAATTGCCTCTTATTGACGGGCAGGACATGCCTACCACTGCCTAAAGCCTAACTATAATCATCTATTTAACTTGCATTCATCATTAATCCAAACAAGGATGATTTCAAAATTCTATAAAAACAAGTTTATAATGAACGGGAATAATGGATGCTCCAAAATGGCTTCTGAATCTAGGCTTAAATGCAAATTTCAATACAATATGGAGGCCTCTGTTCAGCAGCAATGGAAAAATCAATAAATACTATATTTCATGGACAAAAATTCTACAATTGTACCTCCAAAGTATGGAGAGTTCCAATAAACTTGGAATGTCTGTGAAACGAAGGCGAGTACCTTATATTGGAGTAGAAAGCCTACAATCCTAGTGTAAACAAAACAATCATAAAACATGAAAGTGAATAAGCTGAGCATAAAGGCTTTAAAACCTCAAAGCATGACCAGAAAAGAACAAGTGCTTAAAGGCCTAAGTTGTATTGTAAAACTCCATCATTTAGAACAGCTAAATATGTCTGTGTCCTGATCATAATTTATATACATGACTACAAAAATAAAATAATTAATGTCACATAACAAAGAAAACTTTCATTAAAAAGAGTCAGTTTTATGGGTTCCCTTTATACTGATTCTGAAATAATGTCAATTTTTGAAATGCATTACCAGTACTTATCAATAGGAATTCTCTCTCAATCAAACTGATCTTACTTCACTGTTATCAATGTCTTTTTTATTTATTTACTTTTGGGAATGGGGGGGGGGGGGGGGGGGGGGAGTTAAGTCATATCTTAAAGAATTACTGAAAAGCTGTTGGTATGAGATAAACATTAAAAATTTAAGCATCTATCAGATCTGCCTTTAAAAGATCTTATAAATTGCACAATTTTTTCCAGAACTATTCCAAAACTTGATACAAATGCTAAATGCTTATACATGGTATACATGTATTAGGGATATATATTTATACCAGGTATAAGCATTAAGCATTTGTACAGTGCATGCATTAGTCATCTTTATGTTTTTAACTTCCCCCACATATATAATACAATATATATAGATTATAGATTTGTAACATTTGACCACCTGTGTTGCCAGTTTAAAATTTATATTTATCTTCCCACCTAGAAAAAAATGGGTGTATAGTTACTGAGTGTGAGAGCAGGGCATCATTTGACATTTTCATCAATAAATTTCAGTAAATGTTTAAAGCACATATTCCTACTAGTAAATTTTTGTAACCTTCATCTTTTTCTGTGTGAATAGTACTCCATAGTTGAAAAAAACCCCAATTTCTGCACCTTAAACAGCATGGTGTAATGTCGTATGTATATGAGAGACTTTCAAGTATTGTAAACAGTGCAAAATACACCCACGAACAATACTTCCTAATGTTATGTAATTTGGACAAGACTCTAATGTTGTTACCATTGTTGTTTATAATGCAGAAAAAAGTTTGTTTGTGTTATTTATCCTTAAATTCATCTCCAAACAATGAAATCAACTTGTTATGAAAATGGTATAAAAACTGCACTAATAACAGTTTATTATAATTTGATTGGCAGTTGACAAGAAATCGAAAATTTCAAATAATTTACTACACCAAACTGAGATATTTTTTCCCCAATTTAAATGACAATCAACAATTTACTATCAACTTCAAGTATAAAAGGAATTCAATACTGAATAGTTAAAAAAAAAATTGGCAAATTCAAACAATTAAACGGAAGGGAAATGAGCAGAGACAGCAACCAATAACTTCTACATGCAGCCAAGTATAGAAAACATCAATATACTTATTAATCTTTCACGTCAAGTAACATGTATTTTGTACCTTGACCATATCTCAGAGTTGTCTTTCTTTAATTGCAAATAGGAAATATTACCAAAACCCATCAATGTTTTACATTTGCAGAAAAAAATTTCCCTTCTCTCTCAAAAGTGCACAAGTATATAAAGTACACCGCAAAGAAATTTATAATTTAAAAAATTAGAAAGCAAGTCAGTGAAAAGTTAATTCATGCAGCATCCCACAAGTCATATCGTATTATATTTCGCCGTAAGTAATATAT